ATCCGGAGGATGTCACTTGGGGCTACAAAAATGAGTTAAAGAAATTCAAATGGCTGACAAGAAATATGTCTATAACAGTACAATGGGTTGGGAGATCAGCTAATGCTTTTGCTGATGTCTTGGCAAAACAAGGGATAAATAGGGAAACATTGTTCTGGGCACAATTGTAACTAGTGTTTTAATTTCAACATTCATGTTTTCTCTATTCTAGTTTGTGTATTTGCTGTTTGGAGAGGCTGCTCCTCGCGCCTCTAAGGGGATCTTCTTGTATCTATTCATTATTTTAATGGAATTGATGTTATTTATCAAAAAAAAATTGAGAGAGAGAGAGAGTAAAAAGAAGAAAAGAACTGAAGTGCAAAGGTTAATTTCTAACATTGAAGGTGATCTTGAGTTTAGCGGAAGGGAAGAGAGGAGGAAGAACTCTAGGTAATGAGCTTGGTTTAAGGAGGGTCTAAATTTAAAGTATAGCTATTTATCAAACAAAAAAAATAAGTATAGCTATGAAATTTGTCAGTTGGAATGTGAGAGGGTTGGAAGTGTTAGAAAAAGGAGGCTGATCAAGGATCTACTTAAGAAGGAAAAGCCTGATAATTGTGATGATGCAAGAGAAGAAGCTCTCTAATCTGGATGGAAGATGAGTCAGAAGCTTTTGGAGGTCCAGGGGTGTAAGTTGGTCCTTAGCTCGAGGGATGAGGTAATGGAATCTGTGGAGGAATCAATAGGTAGATTCTCCGTTTCCATTAAATTCAAGAATGTGGAGGATGGTTTCTGTTGGGTGCTTACTAATGTATATGGCCCTAATACCTACAGATAAAGGAATGAAATGTGGGAGGAATTTATGTAATTCAAGGTTTATGGGATGGTCCTTGGTGCCTGGGAGGGAATTTTAATGTCACAAGATACAAAAGGAGTAACAACTTCCTATAGTCAATTACAACGAGCATGAGGAAATTTAATGGCTTTATAGAACTCTGTGAGTTGAAGAAAATCCTGTTTTTGTAAGCTAGATTTATGTGGCCTAATCTCCAAGATAATCCTCTATGCTCGAAGTTGGATAGGTTCCTCTTCAACCTAGCCTAAGAGAATTACTGGGGAAATATGGTTTCTAGAGATCTACCTATGCCTAAGTTCATTTCTAACCATTGCCCCATGAAGACTGGTGTGGAATCCCTAATTAGTGGACCAGACCGTTTAGATTTGAAAATATGTAGCTAACTCATCCGAACTTTGGGTGTAAAGTGAAGGAATGGTGGAATGAGGAATTAAGGGAGATAAAGTGGAAAGGAATTATATTTCATAAGAAGTTGAAGAGACTAAGAATCAAGTTGAAGGAGTGGAATATAAATCATTTTGACAAGGTTAAAGAACAAAAAATGAATCTAATCAAACAAATTGAAAAGTTGAACAAGAAGGAATCCCAAGGGTTGTCAAGTGAACAAGATAGAAGAAGGCAGCTGAAAAAGGACTTAGAAAATGTATTACTCAGAGAGGAGATCTACTAGAGGCAGAAATCAATGCATAAGTCGATTAAGGAAGGTGATAGGAATACTAGATTCTTCCATCATCTAGCAAATGAAAAGAGGAGGAAGAACCTAGTGGCCAAATTAGAGATAGAAGGGCAAGAGATTACCACTCAAGATGAAATTGCTAGAATCTTTGTGGATGATTTTAAATCCATTTTTAGAAGGTCGTTGAATGAGAGGTTACCATGGGAAGGGTTTGAGAGGCCAAGATTGGGAGAGAAAAAAGCAAGGTGGTTAGAAAGGAATCTTACAAAAGAAGAGATTAAGAGAGCAGTGTTTATGATGGATAGATCTAAGGCATCAAGCCCGGGTGGTTTTACAATGGCTTTCTATAAAGATTGTCGGGATGTTTCGAATGATGATTTATGTAATACTCTTAAGGAATTTGGTCCAAGAGTCAATGCCACTTTTTTTGCCCTAGTCCCTAAGAAGCATGATGCTAGTAACCCTAAGGATTTCAAGCCAATTAGTTTGGTGACTAGCATATACAAAATCTTAGCTAAGGATTTGTTTCCGAGGCTTAAAGCAATTCTCCCTTCCTTACTCAGCCAAGCACAAGGGAGACAAATAACTTATTAGATCTTGATTTCTAATGAGTGTGTTGAGGATATGAGAAGATCTAAAAGAAAAGACTTTATTTATAAGCTATATTTGGAAAAGGCCTATGATCTGGTGGATTGGCATTTCCTTCTACAAGTATTGAGAAATTGTGCCTTTGGGGACAAGTGGTGTTATTTGATCTTTTGTTGTGTTAGTTCCTGTTGTTACTCTATCCTAGTCAAGGGCATGATCAAGGATTTCTTCCCAGCTTGTACAAGCATTAGGCAAGGGAACCCTCTTTCACCTTTCCTCTTCACTTCAATAGCTGGTGTGTTTAGTAGAATGATCTCAAAGGATGACAAGGAGGATATAGTAAAGGGGTGGAGAATAGGCAGAGATGGTAATTCCAATTACCCGTCTCCAATTTGCAAATGATTTACTAAATTTCTATGACGGGGGTGATCTTGAGAAGGTGAAAAATCTTAAGGAGTTGGTTAGAAGCTTTGAGTGGTTTCCAATTTGAGAATCAATCTTGGATAGAGTTGTGTGGATGGTGTCAACTTAGAGATTAGTGAGGTGGAAGGAGGGTTTCTGGCTTGTCTCGGCTTGTCTCAAAAGAAGTGTGAAAGAGGTAAGAGGGAGAGAGACAGCCGCAACTCCAACGCCGTCACCATGGTTGTATGCATAGTCGCGGTAAGGGTATCTCTTCATCGGCTCTACCGTACAAGAGGACTCCACCCTCTTGGCTGAAGATCTCTGCTCCGGATGTTGAGGACAACATCTACAAGTTCGCGAAGAAGTGTTCGACTCCTTCACAAATTGGTGTCATTCTTCGTGATTCTCATGGTATAGCTCAACTCAAGAGTGTAACTAGGAACAAGATCCTGTGTATCCTAAAAGCTCATGGGCTTGCCCCTGAAATCCCTGAGGATCTGTACCACCTCATCAAGAAGGTTGTTGCCATCCGGAAGCATCTTGAGAGGAATAGGAATGATAAGGATTCCAAGTTTAGGTTGATTCTGGTCGAGAGCAGGATCCACCGTCTTGCTCTCTACTACAAGAGGACAAAGAAGCTTCCACCCGTTTGGAAATACGAATCAACCACTGCAAGCACTCTTGTGGCGTAGTGTGGATATTTTTTGTGCTGATAGGAATTCTATGGACATCGTAGACTACAATCACTTTAATTTAGAAAGTTGATGTGTTGTGTTGAAACCGAAAGGGTAGTTAAGATTAGAAAGTTGGTTGTAGCAACTTCTTTAGGATAAGAAGAAAGATTTTGATTTTTATGAACTAGCTGCTGCTATGCATTCGTTATTTTTTATCTGCTTTGATAAGGTTCTTTCGAATTTTTGAAGTTATTTATTACCCAACAAAGGTTTAAAATTTAAATTATTGTGAAAATTTAAAAAAAAAACAAAAATTAGTGAGGTAGAGGCTATTGCAAGATGCTTAGAATGCTTCATTTCTTCCTGGCCAATGACCTATTTGGGGCTTCCATTAGGAGAAAATCTTAGGGAGAATAGTTTCGAGTGCCCAATGGTAGAGAGGTTTCAAAAGAAGTTGACTTTGTGGAAAAAGAATTACATCTTGTTGGAGGACAGAATCACTTTGATAAGAACCACACTTGCTAACGTACCAACCTATTTCCTGTTTGTCCTTAGGATTCCACCTGGGGAAGCCAAAATATTGAAGAAATTGATGAGAGATTTTCTTTGGGAGTTGGGTGAAAGTAGGAAGGACCATTTGACAAAGTGGGAGGTGGTATGTCAAAATAAACAGGGGCTCCACCTTCTACTTTTCTTTTATTTTAGTATTTGTTCCCTAGGTTTTCTTGATCTAAAACAGGGACTCCACCCCCTTTTTCTTCTTGGGTTCTTTTCTTTTCTTGGTCTGAAACAGGGGCTACACCCCCTTCAGCTCTTTTAAGTTCTAACTTGTAAGTTGTAACTCTAATATTTTGTTTAGCCTACTTGAAGCAAGACATAGGCACAAAAGTAAGTGCTGAGGTTTGTACGTTAATACATAAAACCAAAAAAACTAGTTCAGAAGGGGCAGAATTCATGGTATGTTGTAGCCTCGCCTTAGCACCTTAAAAACTATGTCGTATGGTATGGTTAACGATACAGAGGATAGATAACTAGAAGATCATAATGTAGTTTATTTTGAGTTAGAGGTCGTTGCTGATGCAACAGGTTGTTCTGTTGCTGTCCAAATCCACCACATTCGATTTGATCAGATTATGCAGTGACAAAGGGATCTAAATATGCTTCTATTTCCAGAAGAAGCTTGTTAGACCTCTAGAAATGCACTTAAGCATTAACATTTTGTTAGTATGCTTGAGACAGTGCACCATAATCATAAAGATCTGTAACAATTTAACTTCTGTACAATTTCAATCTCTTCCTCCTTGCTCGAAGCAAAGCTATTCATTGTAAACATTTTAAGTTTTCAATCAGTATCAAGTAATTGACAAGTAAATCAATTCAACAATAAACTCCTTGGGAGAAAAAAGACATTCAAGCTTCAGTTTGCTAGTTGCAGTTTTCCTTGTAGTTTCCAAAACAGATAATTAATAGAAAATGATTCAACATTTCATCATAAGACAGATTAGTTCACTTTAGTCTTTCATGGATACCCCATACCTCTTATCAGAATGCAAATTGGTTCAGTTTAATCTTTCACAGACCATGTTAGTCATCTGACCTTAAAACCAGTAATAATGCACTAAACTACCTATGAAACTATAACGACACATTATTTGAACAAGGGAATTGCTCAGCCATCATAATTCAGTTTCCAGAAAGTTGACTTGCAAGTTTAATAGCGATGATCAATATCTAAGCTCCAAAATACAATTAGATAGAGTGTGTCAGTGTACGAGTGCGTGAGTGAGGGAAAGAGAGAGAGACAGTTGGAGAACAACGCTCTTACCTCTGGTCGATCAGAAGTAGAGGGGAGAAGTCCCAGAGATCTGGCGGATCGGACTGAACTGAGTATCTTCTCTCCAACTTTAGATAAATCCATTCCTCCTCCTTGAACAAAAAGGAAAGGAAGGAAGAAAAAGAAACTAGGGCTCTCAAAGCCCCCAATTAAACGTCCATCAAATACGGAAGAGTTTTCCTCAGAGCTACGGAATGCAGACGAACCAGGCTGCATTTCAACGCACGGCCCCAAGATCAAGCGAGATAAGCCCCATTTCAATCAAACACCAATGCGTGCATCTGAATCAGAGTTCTGTACAAAGGCGCACGATAGCGAAGTAGGTTCGATGAGAACACCTGTAACGAATTTTGCATTTGATTATGTATTTTCAGTTCTGATACTCGCGGGAATGATCAGAATATCAGATCCGATCGTTGTTGAATGCGGACTGTTGAGACTCGAGACATAGAGATAAAATAAAAAGTTAGTCGGTCTCTCTGGTGTGGTACCAGTGGTTAACTGTTTGGGTTTGGTGGAAACTCTCGTATGTCCTTCCTTCGTGACTTTCTGTAGTCACTCATTTTTTACTTTTTCTGAATACGGTGCTGTTCAACTTCTACGTATATTACTTAATGATAGTGAGTACTAAGTAACGAATCCCCTACGGTTTTAATCGTAATATTGGCCAATGTGGCGTATCCTGATTGTTTAATGTAATATTCTCTTAAACTCACGATGAATTTCTTGCATTTCTCCTAAACTTTAACTTTTTAAAACTCCAAAAGCTCACCTTCGGCTAGATTTCTGTTGTTTTAATGTTGGTGATTTTACACATAAGGATTTAATTATTTTACATGACCAAAATATCCTTCAATGGTCAGTCAAGTTTAATAAATATTTTTTATATCAAATTTGAATCTGATTTAACACCAGGCCCGTAAATTTTAATATGCATATATGTTATTTTATGTTATATTATGTATTTATATATAAATTTTATAATATGATACTTGTAATATATATTATATATAATATTTTATATTAATAGTATATAAAACAAATGTATTAATAATATATATATATGTAATACCTTAAATGTAAAAGATCTAAACCCGATGCTTTATGTTCTAAGCTTGGAACCAAAGTTGGCTAGACTTAAATGCTTACATGGACAGCTCCCATTAATGATCACTAACAACAATCTAACTGAAATCTTAATAGAATGTGAGTTTTGGACCCAAAGAAAAAAAGAATCTGCTTGCAAGGGGCTCTCTAGATGTTTTGAGAAGTCATGATAAGTTTAAGAGAAATGTAAAAACAAAAAAAAAAAAAAAGTCATGCGTGAGTTTTAGATAATGCCCCTTTATATTTTGACAAATACCCCTAAACTTTCATTTGCAACAAAGACCCCTTGAACATTCACTTTTTGACAAATACGCCCAATCATTAATTAGTTAATATAATGCATTAAATTACCAAAATGCTCACTTAAACTTTTTTTGTTTTCTTTTTCTTTCTCATTTCTCTTAATTCCTAATTATACAAAAAACCTTCATTTTCTCTAAGGCTATGTTTGGTTTGAAAAAATAATGTAGGGAAACCTTTATAAACCTTGTGTTGGTTTCCCCGTCTTTCCCTTCCTTTCCATACCTTTTCCTTCAAACCAAACATAGCCTAAACGAAACCAGCTAAAAATAACAAAAATCATTTCATTGGCATAGAAGAAAAAAACTTTTTTAAATTTTTTTATTAATTTACTCACATGAATGTCTTTCATCATCTTAAAATATAAAAATTATCCACTATGTTCTACGATAAATCAAGAAAAACCAAACAAAACCCTAAATTTATATATATAATAAACTTCTACCATTTCATTTGAATATGGGCTCTAGCTCTTTTGCAACCAAAAGGGCTTCAATGTTATATTTTGGAAAACTAATCAAATCACAAATCATTATAACAAACAAAAAAATGGTGTTCGGGTATTAAAAAACAGTTTAATGATAATCCTTTTTCGAAGTTAATTGATGGATTGGTGCAAAGTGAAAGCTCAGGGGGTATATTTGCCACAAATGAATGTTCAATGGGGTATTTGTCACTGACCACATGAACCAATGTTCAAGCTAGTGACAGCATTGGCTTCACATAGAAAGGGCCCCATGGCGCATCCCAACTCCCAAACGTGCATTAGGAACATCTCCCACGACAAATACAGGAGATGTTCCCAATGCACACTAATGTGTTGGGGAGCACACTTTATGGGGAACCGATCTGAATTAGTTAACCCATTATCCTATTCACTAATTACATTGTCATTGGTTATTCATACAATCGCTTTTGCCACTTGTCCTGACCACGAGATTGGCATCTATTTCTTCTTGATAGAGGTGCAACGTGGGCAAGCTAAACCTGAGCCTAGACCAACCCAGTCCACAATTTTACATGGGTTGGGCTTGGGTTTCTGGTCTTTGCATTGGACATAGACCCAAAAGTTATGGCTTTTATTTTTTTTCCTTTTGAATTGGGCTTGTAGGTTGGGCTCATGCCTAATCCTTAGGTAATTCAAGCACAACTTGACTATATGCATACATACAGTAGGGGTGTCAATCGCCCTGGTTTGGTTTGGATTCAATACAATCCAAATCTTATCAAATTAGATTTGGATGGCCCATTATACTTATTGGATTGGGCCAATCCAAAATAAATTGGCCTATATTCTTACTGGTTTGAATTAGGCCTAAACCAAATTTCCAATAATCCAATCATGATGCCAAACCCTTGTCCAGTTTGAAATCAATCAAAATTGAAAACAGCATAAAATCACTTTTATGAAAGTATTTTTACAAAAGCATTTTCATGAAAATATTTTTATAAAAGCACTTTTGTAAAAGTAATTTCATGAAAGGTATTTTTACGAAAGCACTTATATAAAAATACTTTTACGAAAGCATTTTTACAAAAGTATTTTTATGAAAGCACTTTTACAGAAGTAGTTTTATAAAAGCACTTTACAAAATCACTTTAATAAAAGTACTTAGCATTTTTACAAAATTACTTTTACACGAAAACACTTATAAAATCACTTTTACAAAAAAAAAAAACTTTTACGGAAGTACTTTTATGGAAGCACTTGTATGAAAAGAACTTTTACGAAAGCACTTTTACAAAAGTACTTGTATAAAAGCACTTTTATAAAGACACATACAAAAGTGCTTTTATAAAAGTACTTTTACAAAATCACTTTTATAAAAGGTCTATGGAAGTACTTTTCGAAAAGTGCTTTTACAAGAGCACTTTTTTGAAGTACTTTCAATAAAGTGCTTTTGTAAAAGCACTTTTATGAAAATATTTTTTATCAAAATACTTTCACAAAAGTGCTTTTTCAATGCTAAAAGTGCTTTTATATAATTTTTTATATTTCATTTGGTTTGGATTGGATCCAATCCAATCCATTTACATTTTAATGGATTGGTTTGGATTTGGTTTGTATTGGACTTGGGCTAGATTGGGTCCAGTCCATTTATAAGTGGAATTGCATTGGATTGGATCGGGTTGGACCAAATCCATCCAATTGGCACCTCTATGCATAATAGATACACAATTTGCATAAAAACATACATACATACATACATACATACATACATAAATAAATTTATGTCAAATTTTATTGTGGTTGGTTGATTATTCCAAGCATGGCCCAAGCCCAACCCAAATGCATCAAATTTCAATGCAAATTATGCCTAAATTGGACAAATCAGGTTTACCCTCAATCTTGGGCCTCAGGCCCAATTATTAGGTTTGGGCATAAGTTGAACTTAAACCCAACTCAACTTGCCTGGCGTGCATCTATATTATTCAACAATCGGGGTTGTCAACTTGGCTCCCTTTGCATAACACATCTATTCACTAAACAATGCATTTAGCATGGATAATATTTAAATGAGATATTGTGAATTAATTTTGTCGTGGAAGGAAAGTCCCATTGACAAGCTAATGCTTTTGACTAGACCCGGCAATTGGGTTGGGTGGGTCGGGTTCGGGTTGGGTCAAGACACTTCGAGCAGATTCCAGATGGGGTTGGGTTATCAAATGTTAGAGCCTAACCCTAAATGTTCAAGTTAGGGTTGACCCATGGGTCAATTCAGGTCATCCCAAAAAACAACTAAAATTTTAAAAAATAAAGAAAAAATACACGAAAATGCCAAAATTAAATGAACTAATATTAAAATTCCAAATATAAAATAAAAATTTTGAACATTTAACAATTTAAAGAGTAAACAATAAAGAGTAAAGACTAAATAGAAAAAATTAAAGAATGGTAACTTCTAACAATGCATAAATAGTCCCAATTAGATTTGACAATCGGATCAACGGGTTGACCCATGACCCATCCCAACCTAGATTTATTGGGTCAGATTGGTGGGTCATCTCATTCTCGCATTCAGATAGCTAAATATGAGACCCAAACCCTGTTTTTTTTGGTAGGGTTAGGTTGGGTTAGGTCGGGTTCGCGGGTTGGGTCAACTCTAGGGTCAGGTTTTATCTTTGGTTGGGCTTGAGCTCAAAAGTTTGACTTTTTTTTTAAGGCTAGCCTATTAGTACTTAGTAGTCAAAAATCGATATCAACTTGATTTTTGCTCAGTTTCCGAAGTTTTAAGTTCCCAAAATATCCTTTTCTTAATTTTTTTATATGAAATAAAATGTGCTACACAAGTTGGGGGAAGCACGACCCCAGAAGTCACTAAAGCAAATAAAATAAAGATCCGTCTGGTTTGCCTCTCTAAACACGTGCCTGTATCGAATACCTCGCTCCATAAACTCCTTCAACTTTAAGCAACCCAAGATGATGTTCCTAAGATTCCACGGTGGATAAACCTACTCTTTTAAGTAGCCAATAACAATCTTCGAGTCCCCCTCAATCGTAATTGGATGATCATTGAAGTTAAGGGCCAGATTGTGGGCTTCCCACATAGCCCAAGCCTCAGGCACATTAATAGAAGTAGTGCCAAGAGTGAAGCAAATAGAGTGATATCACTGCTATTGATTGAAATGATCTCAGTGGGTATGTTATGGCCATTAGGCCATTAAAGCGCAATAAGATTTTTTGCAAGCAAAGACCACACTTTTGTGAGCATTGATGCCCATTTACACATTAAGGATATCAACTTATGAATTTAACAAATATGCATGGGAGATGTTCCCATTGTATGGTTGGGTTCCGTGTGCATAGATTTTTAACTTGCATGAGACGAGGCTCCATTAAAGCTAATTAATTGGAATCTTTAGTGAAACTTTTCTCAACTGCATCTCTTTCAATTATGATATTTTATTTTTACATTTTGTTGTACTTTTTAAACATTTAACGTTGCTTCCGTATTTTGTTTGAGAAGTTGTTATGTTGGGAAAATGGGGTCATTGAGACTTGGAGGAGAAGCTCTAAGGTGCGTTGGAATACACTATCTTTAGAACGTTAGCACACTCAATTTCATTGAGTTTGCTATTGGGCTACAAGTAAATCCATTCCTAGGATACAACAGAGCCTTGA